ACCAATGATGATGATGATGATCTCATAGTTATTCGCGCCAATGAGAATACAATGAAGTGTGAGATCAAGTGTGTTCACCGGATCAACTTTAACAAACCAAATACCATTGCATCGCTACTGGAATTTTCTTCAGATCGCATTCTACAGCCGCAACAATGGTACGAATCAAACGTGACAATCAACATTACGGATGTGAATATTATTCGCATAGAATGTAATGTGACCACCGGTGCGTACAGGAATGACAAATGTGTGCACACCATACACGAGTTTTCGCTTAATGTACCACCAGGATATAAAATATCGGAAACGCCAGCACAGATCATTTATCTTCCGATCTTTGCACGGAGCGTATCGGATTTGACGATACGTGTTGTGGATCAAGACGGTCGATTGCTTGATTTCCGCGGAGAAGAGATAATCGTCAGGTTGCACGTGCGGCGGCAATAGGACACCTGAGATGCTCGTATTGAACGAAGCGAGTCAGACTAAATACGTGAGCGACATTTTTCCCACCAAGAGGACAATTATAAACAAGAAAAATAAGAAACTTAGCGCAGCCAACATTGCATTTTTAAGATCTTTGGGATTCATCGTGCGAAAAAATACGTGAAGATGGTCGACATTTTGAACATTGGCGGTGAGCCGATCTTTGACGATCGCATCGTCAAGATCGAGACTCACACGTACAATCCATACGCCAATACATCTTTTGGACACAGTGACGAGATACGAATACCGATACAACAGCAGGATTTGTACACGTTGCCATGTGAGAGTTTTCTCTACATCGAGGGCAAGTTTGTGCAAACGAGGATAGAAGGCGATAACCATGCAGTTGAGATGTTGACAAATAATTGTGCGGCCTTTCTGTTCGATGAAATCCGGTACGAACTCAATGGTGTGGAGGTTGACCGCTGCAGAAACGTTGGAGTAACGAGCACGCTCAAAAACTATGTATCGCTGACTCGTGACAAAAATTTATTGTTGAAGAACGCTGGTTGGGATCTCTCGAGAAACATGTTTGCGGGATACTTTAATTATTGTGTCCCACTCAATACATTGCTAGGCTTTTGTGAGGACTACAAACGGATCGTAATCAACGCTCGTCACGAATTGATCTTGATACGTTTACGCAACGACTACAATTGCGTGGTGGGACATGCAAATTCTAATC